GTACGTTAGTTTATATAAGTTGTTAAATATTTCGACAGAATGTTTTCAGTGAAGTTCATCACAAAGAATCTCTATTCGATTTGACACTAATCTATGAGAAAGAAGACTGCGTTAGAATTGAGCAGATAGAAGAGTTATTTAAGCTCGGGATGGACTCAGCCTTCAAAAATTCAATGGTTGCCTAGTAATGAAGCGACCACGGCGGCCGAAATGACCTGGAAATCTTTCGGATAGAAAACGGAGTAAAGAAAACGGAAACTTTGGGGGTACTGAATCTTGCTGTTGTTGAAGGCACTAAAGTCCGTAAGATCGACTTCTCATCATGTTGTAGTATGAAACTATTCTTAAATTTGATGTGTCACAATAAGAACTGTATGACCAAAGTACACTACATCATTGGATTGACAGCTTATCTTCGTTTCGTCTACTGGGCGAGTGCTTTACACATTCTGCTCCTGATCAGTTTTTACTAACGCGTAAATCTTCTCACATTGTTGAATTGTATTAAGACTGTGATTAAGTGAACACAATTACTATTATGATTATCACGTTATCATGTTTCGATATCAATGATGATACCTATTTAGTATGATACACGTATATGTTACATAGTTCATTCATATCACACTTTTCTAACGAGTTCAGGTTTCTTAATTTTGCAGCTAGTGTTCATTTAACGTTTTTCTTTACACCTTACTGAAGACGGAGGACATCGCTTCTCATTGGCTTCTATCTAACCATAAGGACCCGGGCAAAATGGAAGTCGAAGAGCTTCCTTGTTCGCCCCCTTCAATATTTTTGAGTCCAATGTTTTACTGAAATCTCAGTATTTTTCTTTGTAGATGAGTCCGATAACAGTTTGTCGAGCACGTGCGGCTCTGAATACGTAGACGTAGACGCGAAGCATCCGGCATGCTCTTATCAGTTTGAGTTCCGCCGTGGTTGCGATGTTTCCTTATCTCTTGCAAAAGTATTCTTTGTACTCAATGAAACATGATGAACGCAGATAAAAGATAATTCCAAGTGGTGAAGATGGCAGTTCCTTTGCACTACATAGACTATCTAATTCACGTCGCCGTAATAGGCAAGATTTTTTATCGCCTACTTTTTTTTAGTGCCGATGTAGTTTCGTGTTACAAGCTGGATAAAACTATCAAAAAACACAGGGAAGTATTTTCAAACTGGCCGAAGGATCCAAACGTTTTCTCTGCTCTTGTTCTATTCGCCGAATTATACTTAGTAGTTACTATGCGCAAACAAAACTAATAATCATCGTAAGCAGAAATATGGCAAATGGAAGAAATTGCTTCCTCTGTTTTTACAATTTCTGTCGCCGACCTTTGGCATTTCTTTACAATAGTTTAAACTCTGTTGTGCAATGAAAAGTCTCGAAAACAAATCAAAAATGAAAAAAAGAATAGAGTACATCCGCCGCCCCTCCCCCCTACCACCCTTCGGCCTCACTCTCCTCTTAAAGCCAAAGTGCGTCGCGCACCCGGGAATGAATCACATGAGTAGTACGTCGAAGACCCCTTCACCACCCTTCCCGAGGGCCTCGGGATAGTCTATAGCGTATCTTCACCACGGATTTTGATCAACGTGACGCTTAACGAATGAAAAGCGTTCCTGGCACCGAATGTGAACCACGGGGTAAAAACCAGCGGCACGGCATAGGAGCGGGAAATTGCGACTCCCCTTTCAACTAATAAAATGATTTACACAGCTGACTAGCGAAACTGGTTCCACAAAACGGGCTAATTAATTGTGTGCACAAACTGCGAAATTTCAGGAAAAGTAGCGCACGAATAGCACCGGAAGTCTTTTAGGTCCAGCGACCATCATGGATTTGAATTTTAACAGCTTTATCTCGCAAAGGAAAGGTGCTAGGTCGAACTTGTACTATCTGTTGAAGGCAGAGCATCGCTATATGTGTCTCTAGACGTTGACCTTGATTCCGAAGTGTTCAACAGTTTCCTGAACGTAGTTACAAAAAAATGTAATAGGGTAGTGATTTGGCTCAGGGCGACGTCGTGAGATCGCGTCCTTGACAAAGTTGCTGCGCTTTTGCCATTTCTAGCAACTTGGCTAGAAACATTTTTATCCACTAAATAATATCTATTCTTACGGATCTTTAACACCGCAACAAGTGTGCCGTAATAACTTCGTAAGAAATACTTGATTTCTGGTAGATAAGCCCGCCCGATCATAATCACGTGAAAACACTCGCTCTGTGAGTTATTTCATAAAAACGTTAGAAATACGTTAAATTTGCCTACTAGGCAATTCGATGTTATTACGAAATCATTTATTCATAGCGCGAGGCGCACCATTGGCGACAGTGGCGAACTTGGCTCACGACACTTGTTTCACAAAATTTGGTGTGAATCCTCATGAGTGGTTATTTGGTGGCACTGATTAACGGACTATGGCATTCATTCTTTGCGTGGGTGCTATTTATCACCGATTTTATCGTCTGAGCTCGCCAACGAGAAACTATGCGTTGAACGACGGGTTGATGCAAACGAATGTCGTTAGTCGTAGTCAGGGGCCAAATAACCGCATATCGACTTTACGGAATTTCGATTGGAAACAAGGGTCAGTGACAAAGGACACATCTGGCGCCAGATGGCGCCACCGCTAAAAATGAATTGTGCGTTTCAATATTTCGCATATTCAAACTTACCTCTATGGGCGAGCGTTACGTTGTTCCTCAGGAGATGCAAGTCCACTCGCACAGAGCAGGGCTTTCGTTATATCGGGCTTATCTATGGAAAATTAGCGGGAAACTGGAATTCAGGAAAAGGAGGAAAGGCACTTACAATTAACAATACCTCAACTTGTTATTTGCTGTGATTATTATTTCCTGACCATAAATTACACGCCTAGCAAGCGTGGTATGGCTCATGAAGATAAATTACTACGATGAGCAAGTTTTTGCAATAGCATCCAACCGGAAAGGCATTCAACTTCCCATGGATCTTTGAGATAAGACCCAGATATATCGATATAGCTTCAAATGCTGATTACAAACATGGAAACTAAAACTGCAAAATGAGCCTGCCAAGGAAGTTGTGAGCAGTCAAATTTGGCTGGAGGTAAAGCCGTGCATTGAACGTGCTGAGCCCAGTTTTCAGAGGCGCCAGCTATAGTATACGACATAAGCAAACCAGCCCTTTTGGCGCTTCGGCTGGGACCGTGTGCTGAATGTTGGGGAGGGGATGGAGTCTCCGACGGTAGACGGACCACTTCAACTCGGTCCTTGGAACCGACACAATTTGGTGCTTACCTCAGAACTAAGCCTTAAAGAGAGGACGGGTCCGTCCTCTCCAAGGCTTAGTCCTGGGGTGAGCAAACCAGCCCTTCTGGCGGAGCTGCTGGACCAGCTGCACCACTTGCGTCAGTACTCTCCTATCGTACCAACCGAGTTGAAGTAAACCGTCGACCGCTGGGGTCCCCATCCCCTCCCCAACATTCAGCATACGGTCCCAGCCGAAACGCCAAAAGGGCTGGTTTGCTTACCTCCGTATGAGCTAAGAAGTAGTGCCCTCGGCTTGGCTTTCCCTGGAGGTCGTTGAGTTCTCTTCCCAGGTGGGGTTGCAATGTCCGAGAGCACCATCACTAACTTACAGTGACTTCAAAGCCGTAGGGCTAGCTGATATAACATCGTAAACGCTGTCACTTTCACTAAATTTTAGATGCTCACAATTCTTTTGGCAGGTTCGTATTGCCAGTGAGTTTCCATGTATTGCTAATCAGGTTTAACCTATTTCGATAAGGTCTGCGTCTTAAGGGCCCAGGAATTCAGACACATGGAAGTAACCATCCCGATGGAGACGCGACGAAGAAGGAAAAACTATTTTGAACGCCCCAAACCCGGGGAATGCGTCGCTAGTGTCAAACGTTTCGGTGCCTATGGCGCGTGTGTCACGCACCCTGCAGGAAGTTCGACAGGTCTCTGGACTAGGTGAATAACTCTTCTTCGGCCTTAATTCTAATCGTGAATTGCTGCTTAAGCTCAAAGGTCCATGGGAAGTTGAAAGACTTTCCTAGTAAGGAGTCGATTTCAAGATCTGTGGCCTGTGAGCCACGAAAACTACCGCTGCACAACTTTCGTCACGACTAAAAAAGTTTCAATTTTTCTGGGAAATCGATATAGAATAAAATTCGGGGATATGTAAGTGATCGGTGTCAAAGAACACATCTAAGGACGTATGATTCATTACTACTGCCCGCATCAGTGTCCTTTCCTTATCAGTTAGATGAACTTGATCCACGAGTGCTCTATTTGCAGATGACGTAAACGCTGTCTGAAGGGTAGCGGTTGCAGAAGACATAATACTAAGTATTCCTGATAGGAAAAAACGAAAATCATTCTCGATCCCAAAATCCTAAACTTTTTCAGGAGGAATCCTGGCCTGGTCTGATTAAAAAAATTGGAATCATAGATTTTGACACGCCAGTTGATAGTTTTTCTGTGCTGCTCCTACATAAAATGTTTTCCAGCTACTAGAGCGACTATTCTACCTTTTTAATGGATGATTAGGATTCTACGAATCTGAATAGTTGAAATATGTCAGCCATCAACTTCACAATACCTGGACTGCGTTCCCTTCCAGTCGATCACGAGCTGGTTATCCTCGAGTCGGACAGCTTTTGGACTTTGTTCCACATCAAATTCTTTCATTGTCAGGTTTCTAAAGCACACGTTCTTTTCTCTGACCCTTACGAGTTACGAAGTCGATAACATGAATGGATGATTATTTTGAATAATTTGAATTTCTGATTTTTGTGAACGTTATAGGAAATCGCAAAATACTGAACCCTCTTCGATCGCTTGGTTTTGGAAAAATTCTAAAAAACATGCCTAGGATACAGGGAAAAATTCAAGCAACGAATTTTTACCCAGACATAGAATTACAGTAGCGGTCAAAAGTGCTCGCGAATAACTTCGTATAGCATACATTTTTCGCGCTTGAGGCAATTGCCTTCAAATTAAGAAAGAAAAACCATTATAAACAAAATAATTGATACGGTTCGTTTCGCTCCTTCCTCAGACGAACCTTATTATTTCGTCAATCCCCGGAGCTCATCAGTGAGTTGGGATTGGCGAAATAAAGACACAGGGGAAAGACGAATAAACCTTGATGTGACGTACTTATCATGCAGAGGAGCATGCAATGAAATGAATTGTATATTGACTAAATGAATGAAAATATAAGTTGATTAACATGTAAAAATATAAAGTGTAAAAGGTGGGCGTTAGCACGTGTTCCACCAGCATTTAGATAGAAATTTAGTGACGAAGTATTCCTTCCACTAACTTATTAATGTTTTTATAATTATTAGCAATTGAAAATTTGTAACATATAAACTTATTTTTATAAAAGCACTTAACTACATTAGTTATAATAAAGTTCTCATGGTAACCATTTCCTAGTAACACTCTTATGAATTCTGTTAGTTTATCAGTAAATGTGTCAAATCAGAACAAGTGTTAGCTATTCTAAGTGTTTCAGTGTATATGACGGAGCCTTTATTATTTATGGAGATATTTGTGTCATTGTGTGGGAATCTGATGACCTTAAACTGAAAATCATCTGTTTTGTTATACAATCTAGTTACAACTCTGTCATTTATTATACTAATTGTTAGATCCAGATAATTACTAGATGTTTCACTTAAATGTGTTTTCTTTAATTCAAGTGTATTCATGTACACTTCTGCTAGTTGTATGTCAATATTATCCTCGGTTTGGTTATGTATTACTAGCAAATCATCCATATATCTGAATGGAATGAATAACTTATTTTTATTAAACTTACACCTTATTGCATAATTGTATTCCATGACGGAGAGGGTAAGATCAGCTAACAGCGGACTGAAATTACCTCCTTGTGGTACTCCTTTGTTTTGTTTAAATATATAATTGCCAAATGTGCAATAACTGTTTTTTAACAAATAATCTGTGAAATATATTAAATCAGCAGGTTTGTAATATCTATAGCTTTTAGTTGTTGATTCACCATCTGTATAGAAGACGTGATAGCCATTAGTGGCTATTAGCGACTTATTAGCATTCTTAAAGCAAATGCTTAAGATATGCTGTATGTTCCTAATGATGATGGTTATGTTCTAAATTAGTGAACATGTCTGCGAAATCTGCTGTGTAAATTTTAAGATTTTCATATGTGATATTGTTAAGATCTTGACTTATATTAATGTTATTTATAGACCAATATGTTTTAATTGTTCTATTTCTGTTTTGTATTACTTTGACATAATTAACGAAGTGATTTTTTATGTGCGTGAAAATAATGTGTAATTCTTGTGCTAGAGGCTTAATGCTACTTCTATGGGCACCAGTAATATATCTAAACTTTATAGGATTTTTATGTAGTTTAGGTAACGCATATATGATAGGCAGATCCGCATCTGCAAATGTATCAATGTTATTTCTAACACAAAGGAACTTGTGTTTTAGTATCAAAACGGGGGGGGGAAAAAGTTTTTTAACTTTTGTTTAGGCCGGGGCCAAATTGACTGGGTTTAAGTATGTTAGTGTTTTTCAGTTGTATATATGGATTTGTTGTTCATATGTGAATGCCATTTCCTAGATTAAATTATTTATGTTATTCTAGTGTTCCTAATCCGCAATTCTCGTAAGATAAGATAATTTAAGAAGAAAAAATTGCGACAGGTGACATTAATTTTTTTCTGGCGAAAACCGTTTCGGCCAACACTTTTGACCGCTGCTATAAGTAAATACCTTGCAATCATCGCCGGACTTGTCAAGTATGTGGCTGGATCCGGTGAACAGTCTCTCAGCCAGATCACCGGGAACTTGCCCTTGACTCCTGGAAAAAGCGCTTTGACGAATAACTACTCCACCCACTCATAATTATATCATTTTTAACGCCGCTTTAAAAAGCAGAACGCTCGAGCATCTCAAGCATTGTGGCAGAAGGCGCCGTTGTTACAACCATCAGTCATGGAAAATGGCGTTATAAAACTGTTCAGTGGATTATCTTCAACTCACCATCGGTCCATTCCACTGTGATGATTCTGTTGACGGGTTGAGAGACAGAGGCGATTTTAGTTGCACTCGAGAAGAACCTGCAAAAAATAGGGAAAATAAAAAAGTCATGAATCGGCAGACAAGGTTTGTTAATTGTCGGCGTGGTTTCATTTTTTTATTGACTCATGATCAAAGGTAGAGTGTGAGATTGCAGTGGCGAATGGCGCCATTCCCCAGCCGCGCAGTCGGAGGTCAAGTCTCGAATCAGATCTAACTCAAGCCAACTAAGCTTCATATTCTTGCGCAGTCGGTGATTTGTGTCAGAGTTGTAGGGGGTGAAGACACTGATTTCTATGTTGGCTGGCTCTGCAGTTCATTGCATATGCCAGACTGCATTCGAATGCCATTACAAGTTCAAATGGAAGCGAACACTTGGCGATGACACAGTTATTGTCGAAATAAGGGAATTGAAAAGGGATATGTTAAACGTTTAGGAAGTGCAAATAGGAATTATCTTTACCTCTGAAGTTATCAGAAGAGATAATTTTTGAGAAGAAGATTCTGCGAAGCTCTGAAAATCTTGAAAGTTTCTGTGATTTTGGCGTCAGGTTCCACCAGTTATCATTGCCTACACCACCGACAATTTGAGAGATTGGAGGGATGGGAGGAAGTCACATATTTCAAATCATAGCTGAGCTGGACTTAAAGGAATCTTCCACGGACCATGGACCAGTGGGCGGGACCGGAAGTGGTTTTGCGACGAAATGCATGGTAGGTACGGATCCACGTTCATGGGAAGGTTTGAAGTGAATCCTGTTCACGTTCGTGCGTTCGACACGTGGATCCGTACCTACCATGCATTTCGTCACAAAAACTTCCGGTCCCGCCCACTGGTCCATGGTCCGTGGAAGATTCCTTTAAGTAGAGGGATGGCTCAGTACGCAAACGCAGGCTAGTCAGAGCTCGAAGCAGCAAACGCGGGGTACGTAGTGTCACCAGTACTCGTTTTGTTAGTAAGACAGTGAGAGTGTCAAGGTTAATTTCCATCTTCTATGGTGTAGAATGCAGTAACCTTTGTGCGCTTCGTTCGGAAGCGCTCGCCTCCGACTGAATCCGCGTAATGAGGCGGTTGGCTAATGAGATGAGTGGCACACAAGAAGATTACACTTCGAGATCGACCCTCTCCTTCTACATTGATGAGGCAGATAAAGGATTGAAAGCGAGATTTGGTAAGAGTTCTGAGAGGATTTGGAATCGAGATGGTTCATTCTATCTTTCAGGTGCTATCGCAATGAGTTCGTTGAGAGGTTACAAACTTCTTAACAAGCTACAAAGATCGGTGCTATATGATTCGGACGGGCACGTCGATTTTGGCATTACCTATTCATTTATTCCGAATAATAATATGCTTGCCCAACGATAACGCGCAGCGTGTAGAAAAGGAGGGACCCCGGGTGAGAGGCCAAATATAAAGATCTTTGTTCTTTCTATTTCTGGAGTGTTTTCCACTCAAATGGCCTCTATAACGCGGGCTACATAGCTCCAAAGGATCATGGGAGGTCGTAAAACCCTATTTAAGAAAGCAAATGTTAAAAAGTAGACTCTAATTGTTTTCCTTGCAATAGTAGATAGCGGACCCTTACACCCCCCCCACCCAAAAAAAATTCAAAAAAAAATCATATGAGGAATTGTTTAGTTGGGAATTCCAAACAAGCATGTCAATTTGAATTATATTTGAGCACTAGAAATGTGGTTCCATTGAATTTGGAACTTTTTCATGGCTCATGAGAGGGAAAGAGATGTCCAACTCGATCTACCCGTGTAGCCGTGGCTTCAGGTTCGATTGTCGATAATTTTTAAAACAAAACATGCATAATAATAGGTTGCGAGTGACCGACCTAGCAGCTATTTTTGCAGCCATCGTGCGGAGATAGTACGGCGATGAGAACGGCGAATAACACAGTCAGAGAGACAAGCGGTGGAAAATGGACGAACAATCGATGTGGGCTCGATTGATCTTCAGGCGTCAGCTGAGGTTTGTGGCAGACGAAAACAGGTACACTTGTTGACAACGTCAATAATCGTACGCAGGAACGGCGGTGTTGCACTGTGGCACGATGGACAACGAAGAATAACAAAATGTGAACGATGTGAAATAGACGAACGATCGAATGGGTGGGTGCACGATTGATCCCAGTGGCGGTGTAGATACGTGCGGTTACGCGAGATTGGAAGCGGAAGACGAAAACAGCAATATTTTTTTTCATGATAACACGACTGCGCCAGAGAACGCACAGTCTCATTCTCACACTCTTGACACAGTTCACGTGAACGGTTCTTCGTGGAATGTGTGAGCACTTTCAACGCTGATGGTCCTCTTCTTTGGAATATATTACAATACCAGATTATTCGGAAATTAATGCAGGTTTTCCTTGCTGTTTTTTTAGTCTTATCCAGTGAATGGGCATGTGGTGAGGCAATTCATATCGTCGAAACGAATCCAATTTTCTTGGAAAGGAGGCTCTAGGCGTGGGTATGTAAAGGCGGGAAGCAAAAATGGTATACACGTTCTTCGATTTCCATTCTCTGCAATCCATGAATCATGTGGGCAGCAATGTCACACCTGCCCCCCCCTCGCATAGCATGTATCTGTAGTGTATTATACTGATCAACGTTTCTGCGAGAAGTTCTGTCTTTATATAATGATAAGAAGATTTCATGAAATTCTTGCTTCACGGTAAGGTTCGTCTGTGAGGCCTTTATTTTCAGGAAGGGCGGCACTTGTAGGGGTTTCGCGTGTGTACCATATAAATTGGGTCCATGTTTCCCGACAGCGCCATAATAAAAAACATTCGAGAGATTTCGCGATTGGACATTCGAAGAAAGGAATGTATGCGTTTTGGTAAGGGCGACCGGAGGAATCGCCTTTTTCAATTGGTTGCCACCCACTATCGTTGAAGAGCAAATTCTCCAAAATATTTAAGCTAGAGCCAATTTGGCAGATCACATCTGATTTTTTTGCCCCGAATCCGTGAACCGACGAATTTCCTAATCACAGAGTGTTTTATCATTTCGCGAATCGCAATAGCTAAGCCAAAGCATTGCGTACGAAGATAACACTGCTGGGAAATGATCTCAGGAAAGCCTTTTACAAAATATATTTTATCTAGTTGGCCCACTGAAATTCAATGTGCAGGACAAATTCAAATGTGAATAGAGAGAACGTCGTAATTCTGAAGGAGTGCGCAAAGGTTCTAGCGCGATATCAGACGTAAACATTTTTCCGGACCTTTTGTACCCTTCGTAGCCACAGAAAAAAACCCTCTTCATATACAACAAACTTACTGCAACAGAAAGTAAAAGGAGGCGGTACACATCTAAAAAGATTTCAGTGGTTAGTGGAATCACGAGAGTAAACTTCACAATCACACAGCACCAGCTATTGTGGAAACAAACAGAAGTTGCGTGTCAAAGCGGACCTTCAAAAATAAAAAAAAGAGGAAAAAATGGCGGAGATGACTGTAGAAGTGAAGGCCTTTACGTTTTTCAAAAACGGGCGACTATAACGCTACGACGAAGTCGCGGGGCAGGAGTTTAAGCGGGAAGTGCACAGAAGGAGGCGGAGATTATGGGAAACGAGACGCAGGACGCAGGCCATTAGCATCGAAGTCAGGCCGACATGAGGTAAACATGCAGTGCAAGTGTAGATAGGCATTTGCTTATTTTTCGGGGGAAAGGGAAACAGAAAAAAATGGATTTGTCGATGCCGACTCTGCAGCAACGAAATGACATGAACTATGGGCCTGAGCAATAAGTTCTGCAAGATTTCCGTGGAGTAAGACAGCCTTCCTTCCCAAAGTCACGGTGTTGGTCACCGGTCCGATCAGCGCAATTAGAACTTTGATATTGGAATGTTGACAAATTTTTTTCCCACTTCAAGTGAACTGTCAGGAAGTAGCTTAGGTCAGTCTATTTTTTAAGGATCGGCTTCATCACAGTGCAAACGGATCCGATGAGCAATGAAGTATGCAGCCAAGGAAGTGTCAACAAATCTTGACGTGATTTTAAATACATACTTTGTGAACCAGGAAGTCACGCTGAATTCTTGTGATTTCGCCCCAGTAAAGGGCTGCTATGAGAACATTTCTTATCGTTGTGTGCTTCAATTTCCACATGAGAACTTTTCGTTTGAGCTTAAACAGTGTTATTAGCTCAGTTTCAGATGTGGAGTATAAAAGCCTTTTTGGTACCACTTATCACAGTAATCTATTTCAAAGGCGAGCCTCAGCATCAAACCGATAGAAGTGTTGCACACGAAAACAAAAATTTTGGTGCAGAAATGGTCAGCAATAGAGTAAAACTGGAGAGTTCTCCCTGGTTCTGCGAAAGTCATGTGCCGGAGTCCCAGACAATGTACAGTAGCGGTCAAAAGTTGTTTTGCCGAAACGGTTTTCATGCTTTGTTTTTTTTATTTGACGCAAAATCACAATGGCTGGTTCGAAAATTTTTTCTGTTTAGACCTTCTGTCTAGGTAGAAGCGTATATAAAACTCCACTAGAAAACATAGATTAACAACCACTGGAGGGCGTTGGTCAAGGCAATAGGCTCGGGCTCAATGCGGGGTATATGGCGATTGAAATGAGTAAAGAGGGTGAAGAGTGAGAGACGAAGTGTGAGAAAAACTGAGAAGAACGTCGAACAAGCCGTTATACAAACGTCGTTCATAGCGTTGTGATTACGCAATAACCTTAGTTGTTTCACACGGAATGTTGTCAGCCACGCACCACTTCGAACGGTGGGCGTCCTGATTGACCAGGCCGGCCCGGGCATTGAAAAAAATGGAACGCCTGGGCCTAATAACGGCGGTGGTTGTCAAGGTGGGGCAGAGGAATGCGGCGGGCTGCAATGTGTGCAGCTACCCACATACAACCTCCACGTTCGGGAATTACTTCTCTAGCGTGCCCGAGCCCGACCTTTGCCTTCGAGCAAGAAAAAGCTGCGACTAAAAATCGCTTCGGCGAACTTTTTGATCCGCTACGTATGTGTTACCCTGTACGGCCTCTACCCTATAGAGCCGGAACGGGAAATCGTTTACTTACTAGGGTGCCGTTTAACATGATGAAGTTTGAGGAAGGCAGCGTCACTATCAAATTGGCGCCATTTTTCCCAGATTAGCATATAAGTAAAGCCGTTGACAAAGGAAGCGTTGAGAAAAGGACCAAGAGAATTCAAGCTGAACGCCTATAATAACAGTATAATGTATATCAAGGGCCCAGGGAACACGCCCCAGCTGATCTGGAGGTAAGCCTGGATGTAGCGGGGGCTGCCATATGGCCACTGCGACGAAAATTCTCGACATACATTAGGCTACATGGTTTGCAGTTCGCGCTATATGCTGCACGCATAGAACTTCAAACAAATCTTTTGTTTCAAAACAGTATTCATAAATAAGTGATTTCTTACTCGAAATTATTGAACAGAGAAGAACTTTCGAAAAATGCGGACTACTTTGGACGCACACTGCGTCCATAAAGAGGTACTGTACTGCACGATACTTATTGGAGTTTTAACCAAATGAAAATAGTACCAAAACGGAGCTGGGAAGTCAACATACTGAACCACTTTACACATTCGGCTGTCCTACTTTAGGTGCAACAAAACGAAAGGGTTTTTGTAATGTAGCATAACAGACACACTGGTAACTGCGGTGAAAAACAGCAGTTGACTAGACAAAATAAATCAATAGCTTTTGTTGAATGAGTGAGGTCCGAGTACATCGGATTCTTGTTTTTGCGATGAGGACGCTGATGTTTTCGCGTAGTCTTTACGGCTTCGCTCTTATCCCTTCCGATTCTACAAAGAACGATCAAGTATTTAGGTAATTTTTATACGAAATATAGGGAGAGGTATAGCAACAAGGATCCCTCGTTCCCCTGTTCAGATGCGCCATGCACTCTACCTCGACTTGGCGGTTGTAGTGCAGCTGACCACGCCATTATACAGGGGTGGGCAACAAAAGAGACACTTCCTCTACATTCAAAACGCTATTATTTACGTGTTGCGAAACCAAACCTAGTAACCCTAACTAAATATTAAAGAGCACGTTTAACCTATCAAAATGCTGCATAACAGCCTTCTACAACACGTTACGACATCAAAAGATTTTCTCACCGAACCATAGACCATTACGACGTCCCTGAAACGCTGGTCAAAAGCGGTCTTGCATAGTCACAGCTAGTGTCTGGAAGCTATTCACAGTTAATCCATTGAAGAAATTATGTAGCAGCTTCAGGCCGGAGCGATTACCGTGAGCCTCGTTGAGCTCGACGGACAGGCAGCAGAGCACAGAGCGTGACGGCAGAAGACGCTATATTCTGAGGAAAGTGAAGGAGGCAGTTTCTGCTGCTCAGGAAGACATCTAAACGGAATATTACCCAGCAACAACATCAATTCAACAACGGCATGCCTGTACTAAGAAAATTTGTTGAATGCGCCATAGGCGAAGTGACTCTTTTTTTGCCCCCCGTATACTTACTTATAAGTCCTTCTGATGCCTGAGTCTTTGTCTTCGTTCCCCTTAACGAGTCTGATATAATTACGCATGTACTTTAGGGTCGATAGTCCCGAAATTCGGAAAGCGCGTGCGGCACTAAGATCCGTGGTCACGATTTGATGTTACCTTATAGAACGGAAATAATGAGCTAGCACCTGGGCCGCATCCAAAGCCGAATTTCGAGCCCAGCAATGCACTTGTGCGTGTGTCGGTAACTGAAGACTATTTTCTATCACTGGTGTGCAAAACTTAAGGACGAGGGAGATGAAGTAACATAAATTATTGAAAGCTGTGGACCGCTCAATGGTCCCTGCCAATTGCTTCTGCACTGCTGCTGTAACAGCTCTTCCTATGTGTGGTTAGGTTCT